GCACCTCACACTGCACACCTGCAAACACAGAGAATCCTGGTCAGCAATGGTCACACATCCACGGTTCTTCTCACTCAGCATCCCTTGCTCCCCACAAATTACCTTGTAGAAGAGCCACAAGGAAAACCCATGTCAGCTTCAATCCATGGAGACTTGTCTGTTTCTGAGCTGACCACTGAATGGGATCACTGGAATCCAGGCTGGGCTGGTCCCCCAGAACTGTGGGGTCTGATTTTTAGCATCTAGTGGACACCCCATTTGCATGTCAGACTACTATAAAGAAAGCTCTAGGCTGGAGGCCTCAGAGGGGAGGAGCTGATGTAGGAGAGCTAGTGGGGAGTCTGACAATGACTGCATGAAGGAAAGCACAATAACTCTATGGGATTGTGTCTTGTTGAGCAGTAAGAACCCCTCCTCTTATTTAATCCTGTGCATGTGTGCAAACATGTCCTGTACATATGAATTTTATCTATTATCTTTTTTGGAAACAAGCACAGTACAAAAATAATGATAAATATTGTGACATGTCTACAGACTTCATGTCTCATTGAAGTTATCCTCAGCACGTACATCTCTGATTCTCAATCCTCCTCCAGTCTGCTCACTAGAACATCTCCAACACACAGGGTGCTGACTTGGTGAGGGTTTCAGAAGAAGCTCTTTTCTGCAGTGAGACTAGTTGTGAATTAGCGCCATTACTGTGTTTACTGAAAGAAAAGGGAGGGAACCCAGTGAAGGCACATGTGTGATTGTGAGTCTCTTGTATCACATCTGTTTATATATAGACATGAGTATATAAATGTATGGTACTTTTTATATTTTGACATGTGTTCATTATCTGTTGCAAAACAAATCACAATTTGTTATGAATTAATATGGAATGTAATTCACTGCACATTTCTAAAGGTGCATCTGACCATGATGAATATGGACACTTGTTCAACCATTGGCACACACAAGCAAACCTAGGACTCATTCAGATCCGTTTCCTTTGGTGCCTCTGTAATTTTCCATCCTTCATCCCTCCTCCTGACTTACCTTCAGTTACCTCATGGCCTTCAATGCATTACATTGATTGTAACAATTGTAAATCAGTTGTTGTTGATTTCAATCAGTATTAAAAATTTTCAGCTCCAGGTTATTAAAAAGTAAGGTGTTAGCTTATTATCCTAAATACATGTTCTCTCTAGTTACAGTGAAATCTTCATGACAGCAGTGTACAAGACAGAGACAGAGACAGAGAGATAGAAAGGAGATATTGTGTTCTGGTAATGAGGAAAGTATTTTGTCACTGTCATCTTGGACAGAGAGTACAGGCAAGGGACCTGGTAGCTGGCCTTCATCCAGTCAGCTCCCTTCTTACCTCAGATTTGATTCCTTCTCTTGTGTCACCAGGTCTTGTCATGTTGCCATCAGAAGAGAGAGCTGGCTGTCCTCAGACTCTGAAGGAGTGAGGAAGACTTTATTCTAATCAGACTCACTCTACATTCCTGGAGATGAAGATAGAAGACTGATTGTGGGGCTGGGAAAGTGGCTCAGTGGTAGAGCGCTTGCTTTGCATGCATAAGGCTCTGGGTTCGATTCCTCAGCACCATAAGCAGAAAATAAAAAAGCCGCAAGTGGTGTTATGGCTCAAGTCGTAGAGCGCTAGCCTTGAGCTGAAGAGCTGAGGGACAGTGCCCAGGCCCAGAGTCAGGCCCCATGACTGGAACAAAAAAAAAAAAAAAGACTGATTGTGGATGATGACATTGCTCATGTTGACAAAAACTGGATGTTTTGAATACACCCAGTTTTTGAAAATGTTCAGTCATTTTCTATTGTCTCCTATTCGTGAACATTCTTTTC